TCCATTCTATTGGTTATTTTGTGCAGGGTTGAAGGTTTTTTCGATGTATTGCCGTAAATGCAGTCTTCTTCATTATTCAAAACTTCAACGTGCTCGATATTGGAGCAATTTTCTTCTGAACAGCGTTTATTTATTTCTCTGCAAGGTCAACTGTTTGGGTCTTTATTCAATTATACCAAAAGATTCTTCAAAAAAATTTATGAAAAAACAAGAATTCCATTACTATTTTAAAGTGCCCTCTGCATTAGAAGAAACGAAAATCTTTTTCTTGGTGTATCAATTTTTTTTCTGTACAATGATGATATTTATGGTAAAGATTTATTAATTAAGCATGATTAATGTTAAATACTACGTTTGTAACCGTATAATTATGTAAAATAACGTATTAAAATTCAAACGCCAGCCGTAGCCCGTGTTTTGACACATGTGCACTGCAACCAGTCGGCCACCTAGTCGTAAAAGAGGGGTACAGATGGGAGCGCTGAGCTGCCCTGGCTGTTACAATGCGACTTTCTTATTTTTTTTTCAGCTTCCTTTTCAATAAAATTTAAAAAACTGTGGCAGTGTTATGCAAAAATACACAGAGATGCAATACACAAATTTTTTCGGAATAACAAATTCCATTATCAGTGTGTGATTGCAAAAAAAAAATACTAATTTCTTGTTTCTCGGCTTCAGAATGAGCTTGATCATTCTTTTTTTTAAGACTTGTTTTTTGAATGACAAATCCAATGACATTTGTTTTAAAAAAAAAGTATCCAAAATATACTGAGATATTTTCAATTGTTTAAGATGGAAAATACAATTTTTGTTGACAAAACGTCAAAATTCACAAAAATCAATTTTTTCTTATTTGTTATCATTTCTAACATTAAAGACAATGTTTTTATCGAAGCGAAATGTCATTAAACTGAATGTCAAGTTTGTAATATTACTTCAATGTTTTACTTTAAAAAATTAATTAACAAAAAACAAACAATTATTTAACAATTTTTACAGATAGCTATTTGTTATGAAACTCAATATATTTTCTTTCGATTATGCTTGCATTAACATGATTGTTTTTTTTTACGTCGGTCTAAGGTTTTTCAGTAAAAAAAAAGTTTATTTCGCACTTTTTGGCCATTAACATGTAATAGGTGCTTGAAAAATTTTTCTAAGATCAATAGAAGCGGAGATACAAGCAAAAAACTAAATAAAAAATTGGCATTTATTCATAAACTATTAAATAAATAAATGAAGCCGACGTTTGATTTAGACAAAACTATTTTTCTTGTGTTCCTACGGAAATTCTAAAGAAAAATATAAAATTTTTTCTCTACTTGAAAACATAAGATAAAAACATATTTTTTTCGTCTCCGGGCAATGGCAACGGTACCTTCATCTACGTAAGCCGGTTAATGTGATGATAAATATATAAAACTTCGCTTTCATACGCGTTGGGGTTACATTAAATATTTAATCTTTCACCTTCCAAGGCATAAGCTTGTGAAAAAACCACTCTAAGACAAGAGTCAAAGATTAAAGTTGTTGTCAACAAGATTTTCACGTTGCTAATTAAATCAATGACGTAATAAAGCTTAGCTCTGTAGATAGAACCGATATCAACTGAAGTAATGTTATTAAAATAAATTAAATTTTCATACAAGATTTTTACAAATAGTTTTCAATTTATAAATATACATTAAGTAACTCGTTTAGATTATTTTAAAAGAATTTTTAGTGCACATAATAAATCAAAAATCCCATAGAAGTAGGAAATATCAATTACATTATTAAAATTTGTGCTTAGAAAGTGAGAAATTATAATGTATGTAAGACAATAACAAAAATTTCTTTATTTAGGGTTTACATCAACAATAAAACACCACTTGGTTTTTCTTGAGCAAAAATTTTTTATTTATATACTTGTCAATATTTCGTTTCATCTTGGAGACCTTTCCTAAACAATGTTCAAGTTATCAAAAAACGAGCAAGTGGAAGTTCTGACGGAGTTACTGGTTTCTATTATTATGAGCATATGTAAGATCTTACTTTTGTTTTGCTTTCCCAAACACTGTTCAAGTTATCAAAAAACGAGCAAGTGGAAGTTCAAAGGGAGTTAATCTTTCCAAAAAATTTCTTTAATTTAAATACCGTTTCACGTTTATACTACTTAAAAAAAATAGAAAAAAAACTTTGTGCTAAAGATATCTTTTTTATATATGATACATTCTTATTAAAAAAGACCGATCTTTTTTTAAAAACAGTATTTTTATAATGAAGAGTTGATTTATATATATGCTAGTGTGGTCGCGGTGGCGCAACGGTAGAGTTGCAGTTCCGTCGATCTCCAAGGTTAAGCAGCATTTGGTGCGGTTAGTACTTGGATGGGTGACCATTCAAGTCTCACCGTTTCGCCTGTGCTGTTGATTCTCGTGGGTCGATTAACTGTTTCTCTGACGCTTCGTCTACATAATCATGGGTGTGACTGTGTTAGTCCTCATGACTATAAGAATAAACATCTGGTCATAACTCAGATGCACCGATGGCTAATAAACACTATGCTAGTGTAAAAGAAGGCCATGTCTGAGCCTACTGGCGATGAAGAACAAAAAAAATATATATGCCAGTCTGCTAACACAAGTCTCACTTTCATACACTAACCCTAATATACACGTACACGTAAACAGGGTAGCAGCATAGAAGTGATTTTAAAGTAAACTCAATTACCGATCTGCTATTGTTCTAAACAGCATACACTACGTAGTTGCTTAACAGAATGTAATATATAGACACAAACATAAGTAGTATTAATCCAACGCATACCCATTCCAGGGTCTTTAAGTATCTTAGTTTCTTTTTCGTCATTGCTAACCATCCTTTTTCCCCAAGCATGCGAGTCTTTCGTGCGGGCCCCTTGCAAAGTTCCCCCCAGATGACTCGGTCTTCCATCCTACTGGGTACTATTTACAGAGTGCAGCGATTGTCTTCAGCACACCCCAGTTATTATCAAGTTTAATGGAAAGATATTTTTCCAATAAGCCATCTAACTCGCTGTACCAACCTTTTTATAACTAACAGTGACTTTTACCCGATGAGCTGGGCAGGTGTTGGCTTGTTGGCTTTCCTTCGCAAAGGAAGCCCTTGGAGGTTCAGACATTACCAGAACAAATCCACTATTCGTTTAAAAATTCAGATATGTGATGTTTCGGCATCCTGGATACTCATCCCATAGGAAAAGACCGAGAAAAAATCTCGATAATTTTCAACGGGATTCGAACCCACGGCCCCTCGAGTATCTCCAGCTAGGAGGCTAGCACGCTAACCACTAAGCCATCGAAGCTCTTTATAATGCTTTATATTAAAGATAATATCTATTGCATTGGAACCGTTTTAAAGTAAATGTGCACATTAGTATTAGTTTGATAGTCGGTAAAGTTACCTTTTAAAATTTTTAAGGATTAATTTTATTAAAACTATAACTCAATTTGTCACGTGACCATGAAACTTTCAATTTTTTTCCAAACGATATTTCTAAGAAAAAAATTATACTCTGACACACTGCTACCTAACAAGTTATAAGATCCGTTAAACAATCTCTTTTACCAGAATCACTTGGATGCCAACAAGTAAACAAGTATGCTATGTAAGAGATACATTCATTATTGCGAATATTAAAGTAATATTATTAGATTCTCTAAATGAACTAGTGTTTGTCAAACATGATATTTAAAATTACATACGTACATGTTTGAAGGATGATACTAATAATTAATATTAAATAGCCAAGTGACTTTATGATCAAAATGTATCTTATTTAGCTATTTATCGACTGATAAAATAGTCCTACTAATTTTCGTGTAAATTTCAAAATTAATATTTTTTAAAAAAAGTTAAAGAATTTTTGAATTTCTTATCATGGACCTAAACTTCTGTTTATATTTTACAATAAAACGTACTATCATAATGGACTTATGGATTTTAGTATATTCAAGCTATTTATGCAAGTGTATTTAAGCCATCTGATGACGAAGTAATTCAAAGTTACCAAACGTGTAAGAACTTAAAAATAGTTATAAAATGCATGAAAAACAAAATTTAATGAATCGAAAACAATAAACATATTTATACTACCAGTTGACAGATTATCACGACGTTAAAAATAAAGACTGAAATAATCGGAGAAACAAATAATGTTGAAGTTGCTTATTTTTTATAACATGAGTAATTTAAAAAAATAACAACAATAATAACAAAATAATGATGACACCAAAGTTGGAAACATCATTTTGATGTGGTGTTCAAGTAAAATGAACTGATTTGTACTAAAACAGGAGAAACGTATAACGTTAATGACTTTGAATAATGTTGTTTTCAGTCAATAGTAAAAAAGTGTTACATCCCGAGTAGATACAGTCAAATCATATTACAAGTAAAAACGCAATTCATCCGTAAAATTCATACTAGATGTATTGGAAAGTTTATTAATTTTTTTTTTCCTACTTTAACAAGTTGCACATAACGAATCAGCGAATTCTTTTTTTTCGAAATATTTACTATTCATTAATTTCGTTATTTAAATATCTAGCAAGTCCAAGAAATTAAAAAATTCACCGGTAATATTAAATTCTTTCAATTGACTTTGGATCCTATAATCTACCATGGATAAAAGTTAGTTTTAATGACTTATAAACGTATAATAAGCTGTGAAGTTTAAGTCACTACATTATCTTTTTCGTAAAACGTTGACTCAACATGTAAAATTTTGAATTTTTCAAGAGTTAAGCTAGAATAATGTATAAGCTTATTTTCAAAGCAAAATTAATTCTGAAATTTATCATAAAATATTAATTCTTTTAACTTTTTACTCTCCAAAGTGAGATGTAAAAATAGTTTGAGCCAGATTCAGCTTTCAATACTGGTAGAAATTTTATAGAAAATATTGAAATAGCTTTTCGGAGTATACATAAATAACATGTTTTACGTGTATTAAAAGAATAATAATACAAAAAACTTACCCAATGGCTTATGTTCTGCTAACCACGTGTAAAGAAGACTTTCATGTCTAACAGTATCTAAAGTAGGTACGACAACATCAGGGCAAGCAACTTTATGAGTCTCTACTTCGATTTGTGGTACCTTATGACTCCATGGTTGCCAATCACCCTGTATGTCAACTTTGTAATCAACAATTGGAATATTTGTGAGTGATGGTAATGGTATTGTTGTGATGGATCTAATAAAATCTCCAAAATCTGATCTTGTTTTTAATTTAGCATCACCAGTAAAACTCCATAACAAAGCATATATTAAGGATTTAGTAACATACTTTTCTAGCTGTTCGTTAGACAGAGGAAAATCAGCATGCGATTGATTATATTTTACTATACTTTGAAGAGATTGGCTTAACATAGAAAAAAGAGAATTCAGAGCCCTTAATCTTGTAAAATCCATAATATGTTCTTGTTTAGATGCATATTCTAAGCATCTGACAACCAATCCATCAGGTGAAAAGAAATTTTGCAGTATATTTGCAGCATCTCTTTGGACAGAGATTGCAGGTGAAAGTACGGCATCTTTATCATTTGATTTTTTTATTATTTCATCTTCATCACCATCATTCAATGGAATATTTTTTAACTTTAGCATATAGTTGTCAAAAATCATTTCGGTTGATAAAACATCTTCAGAAAACCAAACCATTCCACAACGCGAAACGGTAGCCAATGTTGCGTATTTCAAATCTTGAACTTCAAACATGACTCTCACATTTGGAGGTAAGCTTAAGCGCTCACCATTTGGTAAAGTCAGTAATTTATTATCGTCTAGAACAGAATTAAGATTTTCTACCCATTCAGGATCTACATCACCATCGAAAATAATCCATTGTCGTTTGTTAATTTCACCTCTGACATTGTCAATTATTTTTCTTAAAATATGAGTAAAGAGCCCATCAGTCCATTCACGAGTATTAGGATCTAGTGTTCCATAAAGTGTTTCTTTACTAATAGCCTTAGGATCAATAACATGAGCTACTCCTTCGATACCCTCAAATTTTTCTAGAGATTTGAGTAAGACTTTCCAAGCAGTAGTTTTTCCAGATCCACTAGGTCCAACCATCATTAGTCCATGATTTAAATTGCATATCTGATATAATTGCAAAACCTAAAAATTTTCAAAAAGTATTAGAATTTAAAAAATTAGAAAGTAGAATCGGACAATTGATAACTTTCAAGACTTTAACGTTTATAATTATGTAAATAAATTTATAGTTTTTATGTTAGACATAGTTCCATAATTTGGGTACATGTCTGTACTTCTATGAAAAAGTGATAGCTTCAGGCTACCAAAATGTTCTTACTTTTTTTTATTCTTCAAATTGTTTAGAAAACTATTTATCAATGTGAAGCGAATAATTTATTTACAAAATAAATTATCAGCTTGATGATAATGTATTTACTAAGAAACAATTGGAGCTAAGAACACTGCAATAAAAACATTTTCATACAACCCCTGATTGATATAAATCTTAATCTATAAAATAAACAAAAAAACATTTAATTTACAATCTTATTATTTTTCTTGCTTCTTGTGTGAAAATTTTTCTATTTATTCCCATTCTGACGAACCCTACGTACAATGACTCTGCATTGCTATGATAGTTTACATATAAATGCTATAATTATAGTCATAGTAAGAAACTGCTTCAGTAAAAACTAATAACTTAGACAGCAATCAGATTATTTTTCAGATTTAGATAATCTATCAGATTTGGTAAGATTGGTTATAAGAATAATACCCCTTGTCATAGATATCTCCGATTGATTTACATACGATTTACCAGTTTTTTACCATGACCGTCTCGAACTTAAGTTTTCTTTTACAATAATCTGGTCATACTGCATATTTTTACCGGAATAAAAAGGTTAATTTCCACTTTACATAGCAATTTATAATTAATTTTAGTAACATTCATTGTAGTTTAAGAAATGAAGTCACAAAATAAATAGTTTGTTGTTTATCTAAAATCTAATATGACAATAAAATCTCAACTAACTCAAAGTCACTAAAATTATTCACCAGGGCCAAACGATAGAAAGTAGGCGTGGCTTAGCGCAGCAGCTTGCCCTTTTACGCTTACGACACACTCAAGCGCAAAATACCATTGATTGAAACAATTGCTTTATTAACTTTTACAAAAAGAAAAGTTTAGAACTTTTGTACGTTGATTATTAACTATTAAAAAAGAAGATCTTGAAAGAAATATATCGCATTACCACACCACAACTTTTTTGGGGCCATTTTACAAAAGTGCTTTTTTATTGCATGAAAGTGCGGTTTTGAAGAAGTTTAATCTTGCTAAAATTTTAAGTGGTACTTGGTCGACAAAAAAGCTACAAACTATTAAAAAAATAAAAATTATACATTTTTTGAATTTTGAGCAAACTCAGGTTTTTTTTTTGCACTTTTCGGAGTCACCACTGAACCAATCGGGTTTATTCACAGCTTTTTTTTGTCTTTTTACGGCACATAAACATACTAAGAGCTTTTTTAAACTTAATCTGACAATGTCAAATGCGAAAACCAGTTTTTCCCACTTTTATCCAAATATCACCCGGTGTAATTCGAAAATCGTTTTTTTATCTCTTTCTTTTATGTCTAAGCTATTCAAGCTAAGCAAAGTTAAAAACTCTAACAATTTAATTATGTCACACTTAAAGTATGTACGACTCTCTTAATCAAACACTTATAACATTTGTCAATATTTTTCAAGCATACGAGTATATTACTAGTTTCTTAACTTTTGAGAAATTAAATGTTTCGATTTTCTTTTCTCTACCAATAGTAAGAACAGTATACATTAATCTAAAAAATATTTATATGTTAATTTTAAAAGTAAAAAAAAATTCGAAAACAATGATGATTTAATGATAGTAGCTATAACCGTACCTCTGAGAACATTTTTAATGACAAGAAAAATTTTGCGGAAACCTCCATCTGAAACAATGAATTTGTTTTTGTATTTTATAATTTAATCAACTTTAAGTATTTTTTCAGATTTCATATCTAAAAATAAACCTACTATATTATGTAAGTCCATATGTTAACAAAAAATGTTATTGCTAATCATATATTTTGGAAGTGATGCCAATGCTATACCAGTCCAAGCCATTGATAAAAATTTTTTACCTCAAAAAATGAAGTCTTAAACTAATGCTTTGTACAAAAAAGTTTTTTCTGATACTTTTACAAACAACGAAAGATAATAATTCTATTAGTTTGCTTGCAATTGATTTTAAAAATAATTATTTAATTACCGTCTGACTAAAAAAATATTGAATAAAATAAGTGTTCACAGAATGCATCTTCTTTAGTAATATCGTTTATGTTTTAGTTACCTATTTTTTAATAGTATAATGAACAACGGATATAATTTCTCTTTAGATTTAAAAGTTTGATACATGTGCAGAAAAGTACAGTTTTCTTTATTTGCAACAAAATCTTCTGTAAAATAATTTTTACAGTTTTTTCACTCTTTTATACCATGATTGTTTTCTTCAATCACAAACCATGCAAAGAATTATGGTTATTGAATATAGAGCATGATTATTCTATCATATTATAAATTTTTACTTACCCAATGGCTTATGTTCTGCTAACCACGTGTAAAGAAGACTTTCATGTCTAACAGTATCTAAAGTAGGTACGACAACATCAGGGCAAGCAACTTTATGAGTCTCTACTTCGATTTGTGGTACCTTATGACTCCATGGTTGCCAATCACCCTGTATGTCAACTTTGTAATCAACAATTGGAATATTTGTGAGTGATGGTAATGGTATTGTTGTGATGGATCTAATAAAATCTCCAAAATCTGATCTTGTTTTTAATTTAGCATCACCAGTAAAACTCCATAACAAAGCATATATTAAGGATTTAGTAACATACTTTTCTAGCTGTTCGTTAGACAGAGGAAAATCAGCATGCGATTGATTATATTTTACTATACTTTGAAGAGATTGGCTTAACATAGAAAAAAGAGAATTCAGAGCCCTTAATCTTGTAAAATCCATAATATGTTCTTGTTTAGATGCNAAGAAAATTAAATATACCTCAATTTTTTGAAATATTTTCTTTGAAATTCAAGGAGGAAAGTAAATTTCTAAGAGCAAGGTGCTCAGCATTTTCATCACTACGAAATAATTTGCGTCTGTCAGTGACACAACGTAGAAATATAGTTAAAATATTCTCTTTTCATCTCGTTCGGAGCCAGGATTTCTCTCGTCGATTGAGTATGCCGTATTCTGAACTTTTTGGTTACATGATATTTCTAAATCGATTAAAAGTTTTAAAGAAAGTGAAGTTAAGGGCACACAATATCAAACATTTTGGTTTTTAGTGACTTTTATTTTATAGCGTGACATTTTTGTTATTTAGTGACTTATATTATAAAGCGTGACAAAAATGAAAATTAAAGTATTACGCGTATTTAATTGGACATTAGAGGATTTTCAAAATTCGAGTTATATCACAAACATATAGTCACTAGTTTTTGAAGAAGGTTAAAATGAACGAAGGAGAGATAACCTTTATATAGTTAAGCTTGATCACACGAAGACGAATGATTGTACCGTACTTTAAGGAAAATAAAGATTGTAAGGTGAGCTTGGGAAAGTTGAAGAGTAAGCTGCGAATAAGCAAGAGGAATATTATTTATTTTATAGTTGTATAGAAAAAAATAAATCTCAGATGCTCCTCGCTCCCCTCACAGCTAACCATTAGATCCCCCGCCATTGATGTAACAATCTGCTTATTTTTACGTAATTTTTAAACAAATAATATTTAAGAAAGTTCCTCCACTCAACCTCACTTTCAATCAGCTGCCCTTTTATCTCCTCCATTTCAGGAATCTTTTCCAAAATCTATCTGTATTGTCTCTAAAGATAAAATTTTTTATTTACTAAAAACTTAACAGAATTTCAGAAATCGTACTATTTAATTGAAGTTATTTATATGTTCTAACATTTAAGCTTTTAAAACAATAATTACGTACATACATATACCAATATTATGTATGGAATTAGGGAAATCATTTAAAACTTAGTTTTATGTGTAGTTTTTTTTTAAATAAAGGAAATTTTTTTATAAAACTTCAATAACTAACTTATAATTTTAGCGTATTTATATGATTGCAGCTTAAATTTGTACAAGTAATAGGAAAAATTATTAAATATACAATATTTTCAATGTTAAATACTACGAAAAAAACCAAGTAATCAAGTGCAGTAGAATAAACAATATTTACATGCATGTAATATAAAAAAATATTTATAAATATCTTACTGTATAAGTATTTCTACAATAAACAAAGAATATACGATTGAGTTTAATTTTTGTTAACAATTATACATTTACTTAAGCATATTATATATTGAAAAACGAAAATCAACAATCTAACATAGCTGTTTTAAGGTATTTTTATTTATCATTGTAAAACTGTTTTATGATTTCTAAAGACAAATATTCATAAAAATTCACAGTAAAATGCAATGTCAATAATATTAAATGCAATTAGTGTCCAAGAATGATAAAAAATAAGCAAAGAAGAATACAAGATACTCAAATCCAGAGATACGTTATTTCTCAATTATAATTTGAAAATAAAACACATCTTAAGGAGGTTTGGGAGTATCATTGGGACAAAGAATCTCTACTGCCCACGCAGATGTATCCCTTTACCGCGCACCTCTTTTTACACTCTACAAACTTGGAACTGGACAACTGTCATTGATAATATTTTTTTTAAATGTCTCAAGAGTCGTGATTTTTTTTGTTAAGCATTTTCTTTTTGTACGAAATTTTTCATTGAATCTTTTTTTTGTAAATCTAATACATTCATAATGTACCCTAATTTTAATTAAAAAACAACTTAACCTTATTTTCTTATAAAAGACCGTGTTAAACTGTCAATATTTAATAACTATTTCCTTAAAAATTTTTCTAGTGGAAAATCTGAAAAAATTTGTGTGCTCTACTGATTTGCTTAAATATAGCATGTACTTTTTTTGGAACGATTCTACATTTTTACCTTTTTTTTCAAATCTCTTTAATCCATACTTTGCATCTCATGAAAATAATAGTAACTGTATTTGTGAATCTAGAAA